AAAATCCTTTAATTTTAAAGGGTCAAATGGGAAAACCTGGTTTTTGGGCAAGTTTTGGAAAAATAAAGGTTTTCCAGGGAAAAACCTGGTATTTCACTTACATCCTTTATTTTTGCACTTTTCGCAAGCGAAATGTCGGATGTTTGAAGAACAGAGCAAAGGTGCCGGATCTCGAGCAGGTGTTGAAAGGACCCGCCAGGTTTCTTTCACTGCCAAATTGTATATTGGGTTTCTAGATGTTATTTTGGAATCTCTTGTTTCCTTTTGTACCGCCAAGTGCGCGATAGCGCCCTGCTCCTCAAGATTGGAGCTCAAAAGGCAGGGGTAGACGCGAGGACGTGGTCAGCCAAAACTCAAGAATGAAGCGGGACAACCAGCTTTAATGTACAAGTGTGCAGTTCACTACATGACCATCAGTAGCTCTGCGTGATTGACACATCATGCTCAAGCATGGTACTTCTTTTTTATTTTTCAAAACATAATGCAGTATCCCAAAGTGGCACTTGCATTTGTTACTCGGCTCGGCGCACAAGCCAAATGCCAACAAAGCTGGCCTCCGCCTAAGTCGCACTTTCTTCCAGCACCCAGAGATTCCTCATAACTTCGATTCGATGGGAAGCACAGTCCAAGCCAAATATGTTGCGTAGTACGTGTTTGTGCCCGAAAACCTTCGGACGTTCTACAGCAATGTCATACAAAACCAGTTCGCTGCTCGCGCGATCAGCTGTGTGCCGGCTTTTCTTTGCTGGAAAGCTTCTGGAAGGGCGAGCGCGTGCGAAAAAAAGGAAACCCATAAAAATCCCAAACGAATCCCATAAAAATCCCATACAAACCCATATTTTTCCGAAAACCCGGTTTTTCCTAACCCGTACAAAAACCGTACAAATCCCATAAAAATACCGTACAAACCCGTACGCGATTTATGGGATTTTCAGCCTCTGCTCAAACAGCTTTCCAGGCCCGAGTTGCCCGAAATAAGCTTGCAAAGTGACCCTGCGAAAAGCAGTCATTCATGTGTTCGTCCCAGGCGTCTTTTACTACCTGCTGTCCAGTGTTCAAAGTGGGTTATGTTCTTTTGGCTCGCTCCGAAAATGATGTTCCTGCGACGTTTAGACAAGCCTGCGAGAAGCTCCGGCATCAATGCTTTAGCACGGGACTTGGTTGTCAAACAAGTAAGCATTTGCAAGACGGCCCTCCAGACGTATCCGACGCGAGCTTTACGCAAACAGTCCCAAGCAAATTGCTCAGTGCCATACACAATATGTATACACGTGCAGCTACCGCTTGCGGTAATCTGGGACTACTTGTTGCCCTTGTCAGAAAGTTCATATTCCAACGCTGTTTTAAACTTCCCGAGCCACGATCTGGGAAGCCTTCCCAACAAATTGCGGATTGACCATTGTTTCGAGTTCAGCAGGTGATTTGCAACAGGTGCCATGCTCAATGAGCTTGCTTGGATGGGATTGCTAGGCGGCCGTGGAGCGTTTAAATGGATGTAAGAGAGCCAACAAAAGGATTATATTGAGGGAACCACAATCATAACTCACGCAAGACCATTCTGATTACAACGCAAAAAGTAAAAACCCGGTATTTCCTGGAAAAACCTGGATATTTTGCCATACCTTTAAAATAAACGGATATTGCTTAGAGGGTAGGCTCTTTTAGGCTTGCTCCCCAAGCAGAAAAAGAACCGAAACCAAAAAAAACAAAACGAGCCGCGTGAGTTGATGGAGGCCCCCATTTACTTGTTCCGGGAGCTTTCCCAGCTTTCCGGCCTTCCTTTGGTCCGCAGGAGGGCTTTGACCCCATGGGCTTCTCTCTGGCCATTGACATCCGCTGGCTCCGTGAGGCGGCACTTGCGGACCCGTCGCCCAGTTTTTGCGCCAGACATGCGATTTGGGGCCCACTGTCTTGTGATGCCTCGAACCCCCGTTCTGTGAGACCCAGGAAAGATCTGCGAAGCCGCGTTGACAAGAGGTTGGCCATTGGCAAAACTCTTGCGCCGGCAGAGGCAATCTCGGTACCCCCTTTTGCTGAGCGTCTAGAGGGAAACCATTTGGGGATTGGAGGGATCCCAGCAAGGTGTTGCCAGGAGAGAGAGTGAGAGAGAGACTTGAAGCCACCCACTTCTAAGGATCCACGCTTTTGCGCCTCTTTGCCGGCTGAGGCGGAGCTCAAGCACGGGCGCGTGGCCATGCTCGCCACGGTGGGCTGGATCGCCACGGACCGAACTCGTTCCCATGTCTGAGAGAAGCGTCCAAGGCGCGAGAGCCTATGACCTTGGCTTATACGCTCGAAGCGCTTCAATCCGGGATTTGCTCAGCCAAGCCATACCTCAATTGACCCCAAGCATTGTGCCTCCTCAAACTTCCCAAAGCTGCGTACACGGGCACACAGGCTCCTGCAGCTCCAAAATCCATGTTAGAGTTGCTGCTGGCAATCTTTCAAGCGACCCCTGCACATCCTCCGGTCTCTGCACGGAAAGCAAACCAGCCTGCAGCGTTGTTCGCACAAGACAGGGCACCTGGCTCATTTTCCAATGGCCCAGCCTGGCCACTTGGTCTTTCATGTTTGTGAAGAGGAAGCTGATGGTCCCTCCTATTTTGACGTTCTCAGTTTGTCACCCCACAATTCTCTTGCGGTTGAAGCGAAATGCCCAACCAGGAACTCCGAATACACTCAAACAGAGCGTTCCCAGGTAGGGCAGAACCTCCTTCCTAGCTGGGTTTCGAGCGAAACACAACGTAGGGTCACCATGAAACAACAAAAAGAAGAAACACCTGGGCCCTTTGATATAGGATGTGACCCAAAATGGTTCTGTGTTAAAACCAGAAACTTCCGAAATGATTGATTTCCTTTTGCTTCCTTTGACCGGCCCTAAAAAGAGCGCTTTTTCTGACACCGCCAAACAACTTCCGTCTCTCTCTCTCTCTCTCTCTCTCTCTCTCTCTCTCTCTCTCTCTCTCTCTCTCTCTCTCTCTCTCTTTCTGGGCTTTCTTTTCGGTCTCCCTTCGTCCATAGCAAAGTGTGCTATAAATTGCTATCATGGCGCCAACGTGCGCCATGTTCTACATTTAAGCATCTACACAGCCTTGATAAGCAGCATGAGGCTTGTCAATTTGGAAGCTGCAAGCAACCTTAACCCATTTTTCCGCTTTCTGATCGTGCTCGACTTCAATTCCATGTGGTTGCTCTCTTGCTCTCAGATGATCATTCTGTTGGACATATGACCAAACGACTGAATTTGCGTAAAAGGAATTCTTTGCTTACGCCACAGGGAGATAGCCGCTTCGGACATAGATTAAAGGCCTTGACTGAGTCATAACACTCTCGAGGCTCATGGGCCACTCGAACTATGGCAAAGTGAGCCTTCCTGGACCCTCAGGTGTCATTCAGACAGCTCTCCGGGTGTGGCCAGAAGGGTATGTCTCAAAGGGACCCCCTTCCGAGTGGTTGGTTTCCTGTGGGTTTCTCCCAAGGGGGCGTTCCGTTCCAAGTTCAAGACGTGAAGTGGTTGGGAAGTGAGCCATGGGCTAGGACATGGGCATGCGCGTGCCTGGCGAGCCCTTCCAAATCTCCACGGTCGAGGCGGGTCCAAACGAAGACTCAAGACCCCCCGCCTCCGGTTACCCTCCTGACAAGGGGTGCCAGGAACTTAAAACTGAAGCGGAAGTGGCCGGCCAACTGCAGTGGCTGGCCGCGTGTGCGTGGTAGTCTGGGCGCAAGGGATTGCAGGCATGGGGCTGCCGGTCTGAGGGCCAGAGCTGCCGCCATGCGGCAGCCATAGTCCAAGCGCAGCGCAGTCCGAGTTGCCGATTTTCCATGTGTGAAGCATGCTCCAAAAGCAAACTGAAGGGAAAGGATTCCCTGCTTTCCCCCCCCCCCCCCCCCGGCCGGGAAGCAGCTCCGGCATTGGGCCAAACCAAGCGAAAGAGATGTTTGGCCAGAAAGCGAAAATCTCAGCAAGCTATATGGGAGCTTCCCAAAATCGGGGACTCCTCCAGGTGGTGGATTTCCACTAACTTTCCTTTAAAACCATCCAAAGGGAGTTCCCTATGTTCAAACAAACCCACGTGAGATGGCCTTTGTCTCATTGTTCTGATGGATTGATCGATCACAAGACAGCATCTTGCTCTTGGCCACCGTGATTCTCTGATCCAGGATGGCATTTTCAACATGGGAATGTTCAAAACTAGGCATCCTTATGGACAGTTCCAAAGGGAAACCAAAGGGAGGCCAACAAATACTGAAGACCGATATCGGGACAATATTCGCATCGGCCCCTGGGGCTAAAAAGAGGTTAGTGTCTTTACCCGGACCCATGTCGCGCGGCCCAAAACCGCACACTCAGCACCCAGCACCTTGCTGGCTGGCTTGAAAGCCCACAAGCAGTTCTGAGGGCTGTTTGTATTTTGATAAACGTCACAGAATCTCGGCGTTGGCGGTGGCTTGACCACTCCGTGCGCAGGCCCACGACGCCATGGTGAAGTTCGGCTCCATGCCGCAGATGCTGGCGGCTCTCCTGAATTCGCTAGAGATGTGATGTGGTGGAATGGTACTGTGCGGATTTCCGAAGGGTAAAGCAAAACCAGTAAACATGGTAGATTAAAGGCTACTTTGAATTTGTTGAGGGAATCAACGTTCATTTGGGGTATAGGAGCATGGCTCTTTGTAAGGGGTACCAGTGGCTCAAGGCAGCGTCATATTCCTTGTTGGGCAGGGAGAAGAAAGGATGTCTATAAGTCTTTATAAATGCTTTCAGGTGAAGTTTTTCTGAAGGGAGAAGCGTGCACTAGTGCACCCCTCCAGCTTGGAAATTTGTGCATTCCTTCAGAGTTCCGCCTTGATACCTGACGTGCACTCTATTGATTTGTTTCAGTCTTATTCCAGGCACGTGACGTCCATCTCAACCGGTCGCGTCTCTCCATCCCAGCCCCCGGCTCAGTTCTCTCGCTTGCTTCGGGGCGACCCGCTTGCCAGGTGTGGCTTGGCTACCTCGAGCTCTTCGGGTTCTTGGCCATCATCAACATGATGGATAGAGGGGGGCGGGGGTGTTGGCCAAAGTATCTGTGCCAAGTAGTTTCATCATGGAAAGTAGAAGAGTGTGGATTGCCACGGGATGTGGGCAGAGTGGGAGCTGGACAAACAGAAGGTAAGGCTCAGGCACATCAAGGCTACCTGATTCACAGGTTTGTAAAAATGCTAGGCAGGGTTGTTGCCGTTTTTTTCCCATTTGTTTCTCGTTTTTTTTTTTTTTTTTTTTTTTTTTTTTTTTTTTTTTTTTTTTTTTTTTTTTTTTTTTTTTTTTTTTTTTTTTTTTTTTTTTTTTTTTTTTTTCGGAAACAGCTGGGTTGAATCAAGGCGCTGTGGCCAGCGGTCGGCAATATATATATATATACACGAAATATTGGCAGACGACATTGGACCATTTTCAGGTTCACTCGTCCAGTGGTCTTTGTGAGGAGGGCAAGACCGACCGCAAGCCTGGCGACTTTGGGCTGCGGGGCTTCTACCCCTCAGACCCCAAGGGCCAGCACGACATGCAGGTGAAGGCCAAGCTCCCGTTTTCGCCTCGTGGGTTTGGTTCTGGTCCCAATCACCTTGCCACGGGCTCAAGAGCTGATGGGAATGCCGGCCCCCCAAGCAAGCTTCTCCCCAAGTGCATGCTGCAAGGAGAAGTTTTTTTTGGGGAACGGAAGCGAGAGAGTCCATGCTCTTTGCTTTGACCTGTATCCTCTTGTGAACAGGACCGTTTCCTAGCAAAAAGCTCGACTTGGCTGAAGCGATCTCTCCGGTTGCGAAGCGCTCACTTCTGCGTCAGGAGCTGCGGAACGGGCGCCTGGCGATGTTGGCCTATGGCGGCATCGTGACCACTGCGGTTCTGACGCAGGCTGGGTGACTGGGTGCCGCGCACATGGCAAAGTTGATTCCTTTCTTGTTTGGTGGGGGAAGAGCAGCGGTGCGTTTGGCTTGTGCAGCTTGCGTTGGAGTGAATGGTTGCATCATGCCGGAAACCAAAAGGCCACGCTCCCATTTTAGGGGTCCTATTTTAGGTGCCCTCCATACCCAAATTCGAAAGAGCGGAATGAGCTGAGCATTGACATGTGGCAGCCAGCAAAGCAATGGAGCTGCCATAGCTTTGTGATGTCGCAGAGACGTCCGTGCGAGCAAGATAGGGGTGTTCTTTGTCTCCTGCTAGTGCGTCACTCCCGCGGGTATGGGCAAAGGGAGTGCCTTCAGGAAGCAGCACTTGGGCTAGGCGTGGAAACCATGAGTGAGCCCCGTGCAGATGGTTTCATATTGGCTGATTTCCAAGAGGTGGTTTCTGGTTCTTTCCTGTTGTTAAATGGACATGGTCATGACTGGTACATGTTTTGTCCCCCAGATTTTGAGTGGGGCCCCGCACATCCGCGCTACTCGATGTCACGACAGCGCTGACAATCTCGGACCATGACAGCTGTGACAGACTTCACCCAGACAGCAGTGGCAAACCAAAATTTGAGGCTCCCAGAGGCCCAACCCAGACAGGAGTGACAAGACCCTGAGACTCCCCCCAGTGTGGTTTCTCGTGGATTGCTTCAATTAGGGCCGAACTTCCCACAATGTTCGCGTGGGCGGATGCTGCAAATCCCCAGACTGTCCGCTGCTCACCGCCACTCACTACGTCTCATGAGTTCCTTGCTGTTTATTTTTTCCGCTCTTCGTCCCCGATTTTCCTTCCGCTCTTCACTCCCCACCCTCTTTCTTTGCTCCTTTGTTGGTTTGCTTTCTGCTCTCCTTTATTCGCTTTTTGTTCGTCGAGAGCCAGAGTCGTGATGTTTTGGTTGCCCCAGTTATGGACCCCTTGTGGACCCCTTTGCGGCCAACCTGAAACCAAGGGCCCAACCATCGCAACCATGGCCCCAGCTTTTGGCTGCCCGGCAGGAGAAGTGGCCCTTCTTCGATGCCGTGGTCAACGCCCTGCCCGAGTCGAAGCCTGGCTTCGGCGCCAGCCGCAGCGGCCTTTGCGGGGCGACGCGCAGCAGCCGCACGGTGCTCCGAGCGGCTTCCACCAGCGACTCGGCGCGGGGTTCCTTTGCGAGGTGGGTGTGGGTCAAAATTAAACCACCAGGGGCCGCAGATTTTAGTCCTTGGTTCCATTTACCAGGGTTCTATTTTGTGTACGCATTTTTGACCCACAGGTATTGTCGGGGATTCGCGTGCGGGGTATTTGTGGCAAGTCCACCAATCTTTTGAATCGTTCTTTGTTCGTGCTTGGCTAGGTGGCAACTGCACTTGGCTCCCTGAGGTCAGACGGTCAGTCTAGGCACCCGGGCAGCTTGAGGAATAATTTTTGAAAGGTGGGGCTACTGAGTTGAATTGCCATCCCGCTGACCTGCTTGTTTTCAGTGAGGAAAAATGGAATGGCCTGCATAAGAGCTCCAATTGCAGGGATTTTTGGTTGGACTACTGAGAACTTGTTAGCTGATCAGTGACCAAGCTGACCCTGTCCCTATAACC